AGTTGTCTTGTTCCAAATGTAGGAATGGGAGTGCCATTCGCAGCGCATAGCCGAAGAGTCGTAGCTCGTGGCTTGCTGCTACCGATAGGAAAGACTGATACTTGGGCTCCCGTATCTACGAGGAACGTGATGGACAGGAAAGACTGATACTTGGGCTCCCGTATCTACGAGGAACCTAGCGTTCGTGTGATGGTCAGTTGGGCTCCCGTATCTACGAGGAACCTAGCGTTCGTATGATGGTCACGTACGAAAAACAGCTCCGTATCTACGAGGAACCTAGCGTTCGTATGATGGTCACGTACGAAAAACAGACGGCCAACATGAGGAGGCGTGCCGGCGAGTACGGCCAATTTTACTCGCCCGCTTACACTTTTCCCGTCCCGTAGGTGCAGGGCTTCCAACGACTGCGAGCTCCTGGTCCATAGCTACAATCGAACCAGTAGTAACACTCGCTGGGGTCATCCGGAGCTTCGGTTGGTTTGCGCGAGGGTGGCTTCTGAGCCGTTGGTTGCTTTTGGCGAACGCGGGCAGGCTGTGCTGCCCGTTCCGACCTGGGCTTAGCCCTATAGGGTTTTGCTGTGGGCACCGGGACCCTGTCCTTGAAAGACAAACGCTGGTGTATGCAATGTGGTCGTGACTGTGAAGGTCGTACCGCATGTTTATCCCTGTTTCCCCTATACGGTTGCGATGTCGTGGCAACGAGGAAATTATCCTCAATACCGACACATGCAATTATCTTATCTGCAGCTTTGTCAATTGAGGAGTCCTCCAGCAGAGCCGTTACCGTCGTTTGGACGTGACGTGGCAACGACTCGAGCCACAGCTCTCTGACAANGCTTGGCGTCATGTCACCGATCGGGTGACGAGCCAGCAACTGGCGTAACCTCTCCTCGTTGGAGGGGGTGTAGAACTGAAAGATTGCAGCCTTCAGAACGTCATACGCATCCTTTTCCGGTAGTTTAAGGATAATATGCCTAATGGCGGAAATTCGGTCGCCAGGGATCGCCTCTACTGCGCAAACGTATTTGGAGCGCTGGCTCCGCAGGTTACGGGCGACAAACTGCGTTTCTAACGCAGCAAACCCCACTTCGAGTTCATGAGAGCTGAAGACTACTGGCTTAAAACTAATAGCCAGTGNGGTGGATGTTCCTTGGACATCGTACAAATGCGACAAACAACTATATCGTTCAAATGATAATAAACCGTGACGAAAAAGTGCAGACCCAATTGGAATTGACTTACAAGGTAGACGGTGCGGGCTCACCAATGAAGCTAACCGGTGTTTACGACCTGCCGATTAGTCTTCTTACGAGTCTCAAAGTGCGTGCAACCTCCTAGTGTCTTGTTGCCCGAGGTAGACAAAAACACTCGTGGGAGTCGTACACGTTTATTGGCCAATCGTGGTACTAGATAGTACCGAAACGTGCAGAGGTGACGCTAAACAATGCAAGCAATAAATGCAGTAGCAAAGCGAAAGCGTGCCACACGTGTTGCGTGGGTTTGAACAGAACTCAGCTTATGTATACACCTGAGCGGAAAACCGTGCTCGGTAAAACAAGCAGANGTAAAACAAAGAAATATCACAGTTGGAGTAATAGTTGATTGTGAAGAAACTATGAACGAGAAACGTCCTCGTAAATTGCTCCTTTTCTTCTTACAATCATAGTCACTGCAGATCTACCGGAGAAGAGATGGGCTCACTAGTACCTGGGAGAGATAGGGGCATAACTGAAAACCAGTGTAAAGCTGATGCACTCTGCGCTTACTTTAGTAGAGTGCAAAGGCTAGACACTAGGGATTCAACCGCTTCTCAACCGTCGGAGACAGACGCAGTGGAGGAAATACGGGTATCGGTCGAGCAAGTAGCGGAGTTACTAGGCACTCTTCAGGTGTCCAAGGCGACAGGACCAGAAGGAATCAGCCCAGCGATCATCAAACCGATTGCTTATTTAATTGCGTGGTCTATGTGCAGCCTTTTTAGGACATCACTAGCTGAAGGGAGATTACCGTCTGACTGGAAAACGGCCTCTGTAGTAGCTATACACAAGGGCGGTAAGAAGACAGATGTAAAAACTATCGACCCGTTAGCTTAACTAGCGTATTACGTAAGGTACTAGAAAAGATAGTTAAAACGCATCTGGTGAAGCATCTGGAGCGTAATATCCTCATGGCAGAGGCACAGCATGGTTTTGTTAAGCAACGTTCATGCCTAACAAACCTGTTGTGTTTTTGGAGGATGTTACTGCAAAAATAGATGAGGGTAAAACCGTAGCGGTGTGCTATCTGGATTTCAGCAAGGCTTCTGATTCAGTGAATCATCACTTGCTGTTGACCAAAGTAGAACGATTTGGAATCCAAGGACAGTTGCACAGGTGGATAAGTGCCTTTCTCTCACAACGATCGTTCTATGTGACGGTTGTTGAGAAAAGGTCCACACCAGTTCAGCTGACTAGCGGAGCTCCGCAATGCTCAGTGTTAAGGCCGCTTCTATTCCTTCTCTAGATAAACGACTTGCCAAGCACTTTTTCATCATCATGCTACATCTTTGCAGATGACGTCAAAGTGGTTGGTTCGAATGGGAGAAGTGATCTGGAGCGGGAGTTAGAGCAGGTAACTAGATGAGCAAAGGAATGGGACCTACGTCTTAACGCTACCAAGAGTCATGTGCTCACAGGGGCACTTAACAGAATGGAGGTTTACTCGGAAGAACACGAATTTGCCGTACTACCCGCTACTAGGGTTAATGACTTGGGGGTCGTAATATCAAACAACTTTAAGTGGTCTGACCAATGTCAAGTAGCAGCGCGCAGGGCTAGGGGGGAATTATTTAGACTACGGTCGGTTTTAACATGCAGAAGACCAGAAGTCTTAATTCCCGTTTACAAAGCCATAGACAGACCCCATCCAGAGTGTTGTTTACAGGCTTGGGCACCCTTATTCAAGGAGGATGCTGCCTGTTTAGATAAAATTCAGAGATTGACCACAAGAATGTTTGAAGGCAAGAAGGGAAAAGCAAATGAGGAAAGACTTGAGGCACTAGGACTTTTCTCATTGGAAAGAAGGAGACTGCTAGGAGACCTGACAGAAACCTTCAAAACCATGAAGGGAATATCGGGGGTAGAAGCGGACAGTCTCTTTACATTAGCTCCCCAACACGGTACTAGGGGTCATGAGCTCAAGCTCATGAAGCAGAGGCGTCGGCTAAACATGAGGAAGTACTTTTTCAGTAATAGGATAGTCGACAGCTGGAACGGGCTTCCCAAGGAAATCGTCGACCTCCAACCTGTGCAAGCATTGAAGACTGCACTCGATAAGCGATGGGGGACCTATTCCCATCACTGGCAGTGTAGACGAGTGTAGGTGTGCCAAATGTTTACGATGCCTTTTCCCTTTTTACTGGTACACGTATGGAATGCACACGTCTAATAATTTACTCGCCAAATCGGTGAGATGAGATTTTATTTCTCATTCTTATTTCAGCAGTGCTGGGTGCCTACGTTGTGAGCATAAAATCGAAGGAATTCTGGACGCTTGATTGGCCGTGGCCATATTCAGTCCTGTGCAACCTGACTTGGAGTGACCTTGAGCGCTCGGTTCAAATTTTTGACATAGTAAATTCTAGTCTCGAAGTTACGAATATCCGTGCGTTAAAACCGCGGAAACCGCTCTTAATCGTGTAAAAGTCTGTAAACCCGTTTAGAGAAGATATTCGGTGAGTCTTCTGGTATTACTTTATGAAATCAGTGATTTCATTGCCTAAGACATTTTACGTAGAGAAATTAGTTGCACTGTTAGCTTTGCAATGGCCAAAACAGGTTGCTGTGGAGCTCTCAAGTGCCAGAAAATGGTCTCTGACGGTATTCAGTGCGATTGCTTTGGATACTGGTACCACCAATCATGTGCTCGCCTAGACCGTAAAGCCTAGAAAGTCTACGTGGGAAAGGCGTCTTGCAGTGGCTCTGCTACATATGCTCAGCACTGGCGGAGGGTGCCAGACGAAAAGCTGCTCCAGATGTAGGCAACACCGGAGAGAAAATCAAGAACTCACTGGATTCGCAGGAAAAGCTGACGAAAATCGTAAAGGACCTAGAAGGGAAAGTTACTACGTTAGAGAGGAAATTGTCGCTTCTCAAAAAAGAGAACCAAACGGCAATGGGAAGAAACAGGAACATCCTCATTTATAACAACGAGGAACCAATAATTA